GAAAGCCACTGTGGGCCACACATATGACATGTTTCTGTGACGTAGAGAGACACGGACAGATAGAAGTTTTATATAGAGATACCAAAAAATGCAAAATGTAAGATTGTATTTAATCATCATAACATGTAAGGCTGTTACGACAATCCACCTTTTGCAAATAAGGAGGGGAGGGTAAATTGCCATTTAATAGTAGGTTTAAGCACAGGATGTGTGTCACATTAAGGGAGGCTTTCCCTGCTCTACCCCTGCCCCACATCTCAGGACAGAGTCCAAAATCCCCAGCAAGGCTGTACCATGGGCCTTTTGCCCAGCTCTCGGACCTGCCCATTTTTATCTCTTGCCATTTACTCTCTCACTCGGGTTTCTATTTTATTGAGCTTCTTGTAGTTCCTCTAACATACCGTGGTTTTTCTCACCCCTACACCGTTCTCTATGCCTCCCACCCACCAGCTCCAGCTGCAGCAGTTGCCCTGTGTTTCCCATAAGTAGTACGTTTTCACGCTGTGCTCTCATTGCATGTGTACATCCTTGTAGCCTCCACTGGACTGTAAGCTCTAGAAAGGTACTCATCTTCCTCCTTGTTCCCTGATGAACTCTCAGGTTTGTTGAATTACATGCATGAAGATGAGACACAGCATCTCAGAAAAGTTAACTCACTGGAAATCATGCAATACTATCCGGAAGAGGATTGAACTCAGGTCAGTGTCATTCCAAAGCCCGAGATTTAACCTGCCATTAGCATGCCGGGAGACTAATGGGTGCCAATCCACCTATCTGGTTTCCTTAAGTAGGAAATGAGAGTATGGGTCTATATAGTGGTGTGGGGTAGGGAAAAGAAGACTGTATAACACAAAGGAATCTAGAATAAAGTCCTAACTCCGTGCTATGTGTGTGACATGGGCAAGTCATTCAACTTTTCCAGGCCTCAGTTTCTACAATGATAATATTAGAAAGTTATTCTGGATGGCTGCTGAATTCTCTGGTTAACTCTGAAATGTGCTTGACCCTTGAACAACACTTTCTTGAGCTGTGTGGGTCCACTTATACACAGATTTTTAAAAAAGAGTACAGTACTATAAATGTATTTTCTCAACATTTTTCCCTCTAGCTTACTTTGTGTAAGAATGTAATATGTAATACATATACCATTTAAAATGTGTTAATTGGATATGTTATTGGTAAGATTTTTGGTCAACAGTAGGCTATTAGTAGTTAAGTTTTGGGGGAGTCAAAGTTGTACACAGATTTTCAACTGTGTGGGGCTCAGTGCCCCTAACCCCTGAATTGTTCAAGGGTCAATTGTATTATTATGTAAGGAACTTCAAAGCTGCAACCTTTTCCATCTTTTTAAAAAATGTTTACTTATTTATTTTGAGAGAGAGAGAGAGAGAGAGAGAGAGAGAGAGAGAGCAAGTGCACATGTGTGTAAGCAGGGGAGGGGTAGAGAGAGAGAGGGAGAAAGAACCCCAAGCAGGCACTGCACCGTCAGTGTGGAGTCTGACGTGGGCTCAGTTTCCTGAACCGTGAGATCATGACCTGAGCCAAGATCAAGAGTTGGACGCTTAACCAACCGAGCCACCCAAGCATGCCCCCACTCTTCCATCTTATAACATCAATGCTCTCTTTATCACCAACCTTGCTACGTTCTTACCACTTTATCAATTCTCATCACATTGCAATTTCTCTCTGCTCCTATCTAGCTGCTGAAATTGTTCTAAATTAATTGAAGACCTCTTAGTGGCTATTTCCTAAATCCTCTCTTTATTTCTCTTTTTACTGATCTCTCTGAAGTATTTGGAAGCCTCACTTCTCTGGTCTCTGCTAAACATCTTTCTCTTAGTTTGAAACCAAAGTTTTTGACTGTTTCTTATTTTCTCCTGTATCCAATGCCACTTTCTTATTCCATGTCCTTCCCATCTTCCAATGCTGTAATCATATTTTAATTTGTCTCAGAGTCTAACCATCTTCCATTTTGTCTGCCATCAAACTGGCAGAGCTATTTTCTCCAAGTACAAAACTATCAGCTCATTCCCCAATTATGACACTTGATGGCTCCCACTGTCCATGGGATTAGCCAATATATAAATACCTATTGCACACATCTTCCATTCATCCTCTGGAACCCTGCGTTGACACTATGATTTAAGTATAACTTCAGAGCCCTTCTTATCACAGATTTCCAGACAGCTACTACCAATCAAGAGATGTGAACATAAGATAGAACCTATTCATTTATAACATGGCTCTAACCTGCTTTCCAGACTCACTTCCTATTCATATTACTTTCTTTCCCATCCACACTCCATGTTCAGGATGCTTCTGAACTTCCCTACTATGCCATGCTGTTTCAGGCCACTTTAACCTTGTATGTCCTAATTCTTTTATAGAAGAAAACAATTTTTCTATTGGATGGAGTCAATATGTACTAATCTTTCTAGAGTCAGTCCAAATATCACTTCCTTTTGAAGACCCTTCCTGACCGGCAGAGCTAGAAAAGCTTCCTCCTCTATTTACATTATGTTGCAACGATCTATTTCCATACGTGTTGATCTCCTTCTAACTAGAATTCGACTTCCTCTGGACTGGGGCCATTTCTTAGTCATCTTTGTATCTTCCCTAGAACTTACGACAGTAGCCGGAACACAGTAGATGCCAAATGAGCGTCTGTTGAAAGACCAAAGAGATGACAAAACGAATGACATGCCTCTAACTGTACATAAGGGTAGGTTTGCAACTCATGGTTCCTGCTAATAGACACTCTCCTCTTAGACTCGCCTGGTTCCAGGCATATCAGGAAAGTTGAGAATTTCACAGATAAAGGACAATAATAACAATAACAATGATGATGATACCAGGTAGTGTTATCGAGCACTTATTGTGTGCCAAGACAAAAACTGCTTGTTTTAACACTTAAAGAACAGGGAGCAGAACAATCTTTAGATACAATGAAAGAGAAGAGCAGAATAAAGGTAATTCTGGTATAAAGAGTCATACTTTGATCTATTATCCAAAAATATGGCAAGTGACTGAAACTCCACTGAAGACAGAGCTTCAGATCATTTATTAATACAATGGGGTCAGAGCCAAAGGAAAGACTATCACCTATACATATCTCTGGGTTGGGGAGTAAATAATATTTTTTCATATTATTCTACACTGGCTACAGTTAACATTACCCTAAGAAATTTATTTACCGGTCAAATCTCAATGGTGAAAATTGGCTTAGGATAGAGTCTCTTTGTATTCCAAAGAATGACCATAAGATCTGGGGAAAAAAATAAGCGTGTGGGGACGACAATTTGGAAAGTTAGTGCTGATTGTTGTATGCTCCTTTTTAGAGGCTTACAATGCATATTAGCATATTGGGGATATGGAGACTGCAGTAAGAAAACCTGCTCAGTGTGGCTTAACCCAGAATTCTTCATATGCATTTGGCCAGTGAACTTTTTTTTTAATAGAATGCTTCGCATTTATTTCCATGGAATTAGTACAGGGGAATATTGGCTTTGGAGGTTCCTAGAAACAGGCCCTCTGTGCTGGGATTCTAGCAGTGGACGCATGCAAAGGGGATTGCTATGAAGACCAGTTTGATTTAGGGAAAGTGAGATTGGCTTTGGTCTGGGCCAGAGGAGGCTCATGAGTGGTATTATCATTTACATGATAAAAATTCAGCCGTATATGAAAGCTTAGGAGAAAAGGCCAACTCTTAATCAGTTGTTTGAATTAACAGTTTAGTTATCAGGGCTGTCTCCCACAGTCACAGGAATTTATATTTTCATTTTATCCCAAAGAAAAACTTGACCATCTTTCTTTAATACTATCAACCTGGAAGCTTGACAGTAAGGATTAAAAATTGCTCCTTCCTTCCCACTTGGTTATTGGAAAGGCTCTGAAAGGTAATCAGTCTTGTGAAGCTACACTTTACAGTCTGCATAAAAATGCCATGATTTCCCTTCCTCTCCCCAACCTAATTGAAAGTGCATAATATCACCCAGCTGGGGAAATGTAAACGGTAAACAGATGCAATATATCATGCTATCACACAAAAGCTGGTTACTAATAGGGACTGGGTGGTTGTCAGGACCAAAAGAAATCTGGAAAACAAGTCTTTTTTTCATCTAGAATGAGAGTTCTTTGTGTCCGCCACCCTTCCCCCTCACCTCCTCCCTCCAGAATTCAAGCTACAGCCCCATTAAACCAAGGTCAGTCAACTCGTTCCTTGCGCGTGTAATTCCAGGGGTCACCTAACAATGTATATTGACTAAAACTCTCTTATATCAGCGTTTCAAGAGATGAGACATTTTATTTTTGGCAGGAGGTGGGCTTGAAATCATCTTCTTTCCTACCTACTTCAATTGTACTGACAGATGGTCTTATTATCTCTTTCCTTAGCTGCTAAGCCTAAAGATCCTTGGCCTTGTCACCTCTTATCTTTCTCTACTTCATCAAACTCCTATTGCTAAGATTATCTCCTTTTCTACCTCTGATCATCCATGAAAATCTATACAGGATCACATTTTCCTTGAGTGTAAAATCCCAACCTTACTTTTCAAGGTCCTCTGCACCTGTGCAGCTGTCTGTAATTCTAGCTCCATTATACCTACACAGAAGTCACCATTCTCTTCTCTGACTCCTCACCTCCCAGGGTCAGGCCATCTTCCTGAATAAGTCTTTCACAGTAGAACTTTTAGGAGACAGGTAAATGTCCCCCCAAGTTTTCATCATTAGTCCTCTGTCACAATATTCATTCAAAAACTGCTCTCTGTTGCACCATGAACTCAATGACTGCTATCCATTCATGCCGCCTTATAACTGGCTATTTGGTTTTATTTTTGATGGCTGATACCTTATGGGCAGGTCAAAGCATAGCTCTTATCAAGAGTCCTATGCCATTTCAGTTTTAATAGATTAAAAGACATATTTTTATCTGCTTCAGCAGTAGAGATGATTTGAAACTTACTGAATTAAAACTGTATTTGTCTTCTAGTAAGTTATATTACCTGTCAACTGGCATCGGTGGATGGTATGGTTTGTTGACTTTGGCATAGAGACCCTCTAAGTGGTCTCTCTCTGGAGACAGCGGACGGCCATCCCGTGGGTAACCCAATGGTCCAGCCCGAGGTGGAGATGGTGACCTGTAGACATTTGCTGATGCACATGGTTCCCGGAAATGGTTCACTCTGGCATAATTGGGGTCCATTTCATCATCGTCCATATCATGCAGTGACCCAATTCCACCAGTAGCATAATCAATAAGACCTCTTGCCTGCTTTTCCCTTAGCTCCTGGTGTTTTGCTCCAATCCTGAAAAAAAAGTAGAACATGTAGTAGAGACATATGTGAATTTCATGTTGTAATATGATAGACTCTCCTGAATCTATGTTGATTCCTCCTAATCAGTCACTTAGCTGCTACTCTCCTGTTAACCCACATTCACACCATGTAGAAATGCCAACAGAATATCCATGGAGTTAATTTTTTATCTCTGACTTTTATTTGTTGTGGGTCTTCTACAGCAATGCTATAGGTATTTTGACATCTTGCCCACTGATGACTGGGCTGATAGCAGAGTCGGAGGCTGATTTTCATGAAAATTCCCTTCCTACAAATGGGATGTGCCTGGGGGAACAGTACATCTGTGGTGTGATATTATGGAAGTCTTCCTTGGGAGAGGGATGCATGTTAAAGAGCCCATCAGAATCGTATACTTGGGCTGTGATTTCAACATTTGGTACCCTAGAATTCTAGTGTATTCCTTTAAGGAAAAGAGCTTAGCAAAATTGATTTAAATATGAAAAAGAAATACAGAGGCTTTCTGGTCACTAAAAGCAGTGGGATCAGAGGTAATTTATGAGAGATTCTAAGTTTTTTGGTTACACAAATGGGGATCATTGTGCCTCGTTATATAGGGGCTAGCGACGGAGTAAAATAGTGAAGAAATTAATAGGCTCCTGACAGAGATGAACTGGCACATATAAGTGAATTAAACAGAATTCCACAGCGCTCAAGCCTTAAGTGATATTACAAAATGCTACTACTAATCAGTGTGCTGTGTAGACTGCTGGCAGTGGAAGCCAAAAATAAACCTAGGTGGATTCCAAATCCATCTGAATTTAAGGATGTGACATTTAATCTGGAAAGTGTTAGATCAGCTCTCCTGAATTCTCAGTTGCGTGTTAAAACGCAAAGGCCACTGTGGCATCTGATTGGACAATGGTGATCTGATGGTGTCAGGAGGTGTACCGTGCTAACGAGGAACGAACGGAACCTTACATCACTGGGCAAACCCAGTGCACTGCATGCATACAGGACGGGAGAAGCCAGGCGATGCTGGCTCAGGCAGCAAAAGCAAGAACTCAAGAAATGATGGGGACAAGCCTGGGCTCTGAGAATATGAGAGGGCCGTGGGCTAGAAGTGAAAGATCTGTACATGCCTGGGTACATTTTTTTTTTTTTCAACATTTATTTATTTTTGGGACAGAGAGAGACAGAGCATGAATGGGGGAGGGGCAGAGAGAGAGGGAGACACAGAATCGGAAACAGGCTCCAGGCTCTGAGCCATCAGCCCAGAGCCCGACGCGGGGCTCGAACTCACGGACCGCGAGATCGTGACCTGGCTGAAGTCGGACGCTTAACCGACTGCGCCACCCAGGCGCCCCTGCCTGGGTACATTTATAGCAAGCTTGGATGAATTAAAAACAAAACAAAACTGAACTCTTTCAGTATCTTCTCCTCTTCAAGCAAAAACACCTATGTTTGCACGTGGCAGCTAGCTTTGTTTATTATCTTTATCTTTCAAGGCATTTTCTCTTTTGGCAGAATGGCTTCCCTCCCTCCCCCTATCCAGTGGAGAGAAGGCAAGGAAAAAAAACAACATGAGGAAGAAGAAGGCATAGGACAAAAATCCAGCATCCATCTCAAGCCACAACAGATGAAAATAAATGTCAGGATACATTGCTGCATATCTCTTTTGACTAGGTCAAATCATATGCCCTACACATAAGTAATTAGAAGAATTTATATTTTTGTAAAGAGGAGCTTGAATCTCCAAGGGATTCTGAATGAAGATGAAAGGGAGATTACACGGTAGGGTACCTGTTAAGAAGGTCTGCCGGTCCCCTTTCAATGCAGGTTAGTCCTAGGTTCATGGATGTTTGTTTTGAATAATTTTTTATAAAGAAGATAAGTCGCTCTATTCTGCAACAAAACTGTCCTCTCAGGGACAGTGCAGACGGGATTATCAGAGAACATTCGCTGCACTATGATGATAGGGATGAATTTCCATGGCAAAGAGAGCGCAGGACATCAATAAAGTCAGGGGGTGGGGTTCTGTGTGGTTACCATGCCTCCTAAGTGCGATGCTTTCATGAGATTTCATGAGGAATCATTCAGTAGAAAGATGAACATCTCATGGAGGCCGCATAAAGCTCCACTTGTGCATTAATGAAAGAAGAAAACAGAAAGCGTGATTTTTAAAAGTCACAGAAATAGAACACCGGTATCTGTGCCCCTTATCTCATCGCTTCCCTTTCTTAGAGGTTTTCTCATTAATTAGACTCTGGGTATGGAAAGATTCTCAGATGAAAAGTACTCTGTGTATGCAAAGCAGTATTTTATCTTGCATTTTTTCTTTCTAAAACAAAACTAAATTTCTCCTTGATCCTCTCTGCAACACTGTTTCAGTAACTAATTTCATATTAATCACTCAGTAGGTGAAATAGTAATTTCTCTGAACCGTCATTATTATGCCATATGTCAGGGTCTCTCCATGCGGGGGAGGACAAGGCAATCTGAAAAGGGGTGTACGGAGGCAGAAGAGACTCTGTCCAAAGAGAAATGTCAAGGAAATGGAGTTTTGTTTTGTTTTGTTTTGTTTTGTTTTGTTTGTTTTTGGTAGTTCTGACCTCTCTCTGCCCTAATTCAGTGTGAGAATTCTAATTGTTTATTATCATTTCCACTTAGAGGTCTTCATATCACTGGGGCCTCAACCTGTTAAAATATCTATTTTTCAAAATAGCTCTTGATCGTATGTCCTTTTTATTGGATGGTACCATCGGCTTTCCCATTCTCCCCAGCACAGTGCCTTTGAATTACTTAAATTTCTTCTCTCTCTTTCCTTGCAAAAGCATTGTTGTTTCTTGTTTCTATTATAACTCTTGGATACCCTCTTTGGTTTCCATTTCTTTCACCAAACTCTAGTATTCAGGCTTTATATTGCCTACCTGTGTACTGTCCAATGTGGTGGCCACTACCACATGATGCTATAAACATTTAAATTAGAATTAACTACAATGAACTGAAATTTAAAATTCACTTTCTCAGTTTCATAAACCACATTCCAAGTGCTCTATAGCCACAAGTGGCTCATGACTACTATACCAGACACTGTAGATAGATATAGACTAATTCCATCATTGCAGAATGTTTTATTGGACTGTGCTAGCCTAGATTATTCTAACATTTTTTTGGTGTATTATCTTATAATGCTTTAATCTCTGCCTTACAAGACTGTTGGATAAGCTTCCCTAAAGACCATTTACATCATATCTCTGTCAGATCAAGGATTTCTAACAATAGATTATAGTAAATGATGGAGTAAGAGTATGGTTACTTTATTTCCCTCCCTCAAACTCTAAGTGAACAAGCGGATTGAGAAATTGGGAAGGAAATTTCATCTACAGTAGAATTAGAGAATAACCATAATCTTACACCATGCAGTGAAATTTGGACTCACCCCAAAAGAGGGAGTACATCAAGAGCTGATACATGCCTCTGTCTCTAGCAGGGTACACATTTCACTGAAAGTAAGATCCAGAGTCCAGACGACTACAGACAACAAACTTTCATTCAGAAAAAATATAGTTTGAAGGCCAGTGTAAGATCCTGGAATTGAGGGGTAAATCTTTGTGAGGTGCCGAATTAAGCTTGGAGGAGAGGTGGAGCTAGAAGATTGATATTTTCTCTGGGACATATATTTTGTCTTACACTGAAGAACCTTCATGGAGTAAAAGGAGAGAAGAGAAAAGAAGCTCCAACCTATTTTGTAGCTGAAAGGCAGAATTAGCAGAGCAGAGATAAACAAACACAAACTCATCAAAATAAAACCAATAATCTAAGAGGCTTCACTAAGGAAGCTGATCTCTTTCAGATTGATCTGCTCTCCCAAAATGGAAGACCATGGAAAACAAGCCCCCCGGGCATGCACCCAGCAGATGTGACAAGAAGACATTGTGGAAGAACATATGGAATTGAAGCTACCTACCAGTGACCTTAGATCTCTATGCCCTCCATGTCCTCTAACACTATATTTAAAAGTATTATTTAAACACTATATAATATGAAATTAATTTAATGGGTCATAACAAGCTTTTGAAAAATTAAATACGATAAAAGAGAAAATATTAGGGGTTATTAATGCATGTAGTATGCATAAGTATTATTTCCAGAAGGAGAAGAATCAAGTCTTCTAAAAATTCAGGCAAACTGGGGCTAGCCTCAAACATAAATAAAGCCCAATGAAAAACATTCTCAAACATTTCAAAACTCAAGGGACTACAGCTTGTTGACCTGTTGTGAAAAACTACTTAACAATTACCATCAGTCAACCAAAAATTGAATCAAAATGAGGAAGTCAACTCGATAAAGCTGTGGAATGACAGGTGTGATGGTGAGCAGGACCTTAACCTCACATTAAGGGTAAACATTTGTAGCAGCATAATTATGGAAAAACACAAATATGATAAACGCTGGCAATATAAACATGATAATCATTAGTGAAAGTCAGAAATCAATAAGGATGTTAGGAGACAGTGTATTCATTCCCTCACTTTTTAGAGTAGGGATCAGTAGTTACTGTTGAAAGTTGATAAATCAGGAAATAGAGGATGTGGTATATACTAAATATTACTACAAGAAAAAGGTACTCAAACAACAAATTATCAGAAGAGGGATGGACAAAACAAAACCCCGACCATATAGAAAACAGGAGAAGCTGTAAAAAAGAGTAATATAAAATCAGATGACTAGATTTATCTTTTATGACAATAAATGAAAATGGAATAAATGTCTTTATTGTAACTAAGGAATCCCAGATATGATAAAAAAGGAAAACATAGTACATGCTATCAAAATAGTGAAAAATGAAGAGTCGCCTAAATGTGCAGTAACAGGGGACTAGGAAAGACATATGATGCAGCTAAAAAAATATGAGCATACTATTCCCATACTAAAAGGAAATAAGATATACATATGTGCCAAGATAGATATAGATATTTGTATGATATATTACATATTCTTGCATATAC